GGGCGTCTGACTTTTTGTGACGCTCCAGGCTAGGGCTCTGCGCAACGTCAATTGCACAATGAAGAATAATTGCGCAATTACAGACGGGCTTTGGTGTAAATACTGGCAGAGAGAGGGATAGAGAGGGAGGGGAGGGTAGTAACACTTTCCGAAAATGAACGCCAGTAAATAAATAATGGGCGACGTTTCGGGCAATGGTGCTTTATCATGCGCTGAGTTTTTGTGTATGTGAATCGTGCTTCATGGCTTCTGCACCCACTTCCAGCATATCAGAATACAACACACAATATACACAACACGATATACACAACACACAATATACACAACACGATATACACAACACACAATATACACAACACGATATACACAACACACAATATACACAACACGATATACACAACACACAATATACACAACACGATATACACAACATGATATACACAACACACAATATACACAACACACAATATACACAACACACAATATACACAACACACAATATACACAACACACAATATACACAACACACAATATACACTACATGATATACACAACACACAATATACACAACACACAATATACACAACACACAATATACACAACACACAATATACACAACACACAATATACACAACACACAATATACACAACACACAATATACACTACATGATATACACAACACACAATATACACAACACACAATATACACAACACACAATATACACAACACACAATATACACAACACAATATACACAACACACAATATACACAACACACAATATACACAACACAATATACACAACACACAATATACACTACATGATATACACAACACACAATATACACAACACACAATACACACAACACACAATATACACAACACACAATATACACAACATGATATACACAACACACAATATACACAACACACAATATACACAACACACAATATACACAACACAATATACACAACACGATATACACAACACACTATATACACAACATGATATACACAACACACGATATACACAACATGATATACACAACACACGACATACACTACACACAATATACACAACACACAATATACACAACACGATATACACAACACACAATATACACAACACACGATATACACAACACACAATATACACAACACGATATACACAACACACAATATACACAACACGATATACACAACACACAATATACACAACACATGATATACACAACACACAATATACACAACACACAATATACACAACACACAATATACACAACACACAATATACACAACACACAATATACACTACATGATATACACAACACACAATATACACAACACACAATATACACAACACACAATATACACAACACACAATATACACAACACACAATATACACAACACACAATATACACAACACACAATATACACTACATGATATACACAACACACAATATACACAACACACAATATACACAACACACAATATACACAACACACAATATACACAACACACAATATACACTACATGATATACACAACACACAATATACACAACACAATATACACAACACACAATATACACTACATGATATACACAACACACAATATACACAACACACAATACACACAACACACAATATACACAACACACAATATACACAACATGATATACACAACACACAATATACACAACACACAATATACACAACACACAATATACACAACACAATATACACAACACGATATACACAACACACTATATACACAACATGATATACACAACACACGATATACACAACATGATATACACAACACACGACATACACTACACACAATATACACAACACACAATATACACAACACGATATACACAACACACAATATACACAACACACGATATACACAACACACAATATACACAACACGATATACACAACACACAATATACACAACACGATATACACAACACACAATATACACAACACATGATATACACAACACACAATATACACAACACACAATATACACAACACACAATATACACAACACATGATACACACAACACACAATATACACAACACATGATACACACAACACACAATATACACAACACACAGATGTGCACAACACACGATATACACAACACACAATATACACAACACACGACATACACAACACACGATATACACAACACACGACATACACTACACACGATATACACAACACACGACATACACAACACACGACATACACAACACACGATATACACAACACACGACATACACAACACACGATATACACAACACGCGATATACACAACACACGATATACACAACACACGATATACACTACACACGATATACACTACACACGATATACACAACACACGATATACACAACACACAGATATACACAACACACAGATATACACAACACACGATATACACAACACACGATATACACAACACACGATATACACTACACACGACATACACAACACACGATATACACAACACACGATATACACAACACACGACATACACAACACACGATATACACAACACACGATATACACAACACACGATATACACAACACACGACATACACAACACACAGATATACACAACACACAATATACACAACACACGACATACACAACACACGATATACACAACACACAGATATACACAACACACGATATACACAACACATGATATACACAACACACAATATACACAACACATGATATACACAACACACAATATACACAACACACGACATACACAACACACAGATATACACAACACACGATATACACAACACACGACATACACAACACACGATATACACTACACACTATATACACAACACACGACATACACAACACACAGATGTGCACAACACACGACATACACTACACACAATATACACAACACACGATATACACAACACACAGATGTGCACAACACACGACATACACAACACACAATATACACAACACACGACATACACAACACACGATATACACAACACACAGATGTGTACAACACACGATATACACAACACACGACATACACAACACACAATATACACAACACACGACATACACAACACACGATATACACAACACACAGATGTGCACAACACACGACATACACAACACACAATATACACAACACACAATATACACAACACACGACATACACAACACACGATATACACAACACACGATATACACAACACACGATATACACAACACACAATATACACAACACACAGATGTGCACAACACACAATATACACAACACACGACATACACAACACACGATATACACAACACATGATATACACAACACACGATATACACAACACACGATATACACACCACACTATACACAACACACGATATACACAACACACGACATACACAACACACGATATACACTACACATGACATACACTACACACGACATACACAACACACGACATACACTACACACAATATACACAACACGATATACACAACACATGACATACACTACACACGACATACACAACACACGATATACACAACACACGATATACACTACACACGATATACACTACACACGATATACACAACACACGACATACACTACACACGACATACACTACACACGACATACACAACACATGACATACACCACTACACACGACATACACTACACACGACATACACTACACACGATATACACTACACACGATATACACAACACACGACATACACAACATACGACATACACTACACACGATATACACTACACACGATATACACAACACACGATATACACAACACGCGATATACACAACACACGATATACACTACACACGACATACACTACACACGATATACACTACACACGACATACACAACACACGACATACACAACACACGATATACACAACACACGACATACACAACACACGACATACACAACACACGATATACACTACACACGACATACACAACACACGACATACACAACACACGATATACACAACACACGACATACACAACACACGACATACACAACACACGACATACACTACACACAATATACACAACACACGATATACACAACACACGACATACACAACACACGACATACACTACATAGGACATACACAACACACGACATACACTACACACGACATACACAACACACGAGATACACAACACACGACATACACAACACACGACCTACACAACACACGACATACACAACACACGACATACACTACACACAATATACACGACATACACAACACACGACATACACTACATAGGACATACACAACACACGACATACACTACACACGACATACACTACACACGACATACACAACACACGATATACACAACACACGACATACACTACACACGACATACACAACACATGACATACACTACACACGTGTTTGCTGCTGTGGTAGTTCTGAGTCTGATGCTACGAGGTGTTTGCTGTGGGTCGGATGAATCGGTGGGGAGGAGGAAGAGTGGTGGGGGGCTGAGGAAGGGGAGGGGGGATTAAGGGGAGGGGTGAAGGAGGGAGGGGGGATGAAGAGGAGGGGTGGGAGGATGAGGGGGAGGGGTGAAGAAGGGAGGGGTGGGGGTAATGAAGTGGAAGGGGGGGAAACTGAAGGAGGGGAGGGTGTGTGTGTGGGGGGTGAAGGGGAGGGGTGCGAGGGGGTGTGGTCTAATTTGTCTCTTTAATCTGGGGCAACCATCGGGCCCTCCACTCCGCACCGCATCACCACGAGGGAGGGAACGAGCGAGAGAGAGGGAGAGAGAGACGCACAGCTATTAAAGGGACCGGCCGCTGCTACAGCTGCCTACTGCTGCTGCTGCATCTCCTCGGCGCGCGTGTTCACCTGTCCGTGCGCTCTCCTTTTTTCCCACACACCACCCGCGTGCCGTGCCGTGCCGTGCCTGCCGCCGCCGCCGCCGTAGGGCAAGTTCCAATGGCCGGAGCGAGTGAGCAGCAGTCTCGGCGTTTCAGCGTGCTGGGCTGGGAGCAAGTGGAGCGTCTGGACGCCGTGCTCGACCAGAAGGTTCCCATTCACGGAAGAGGGAACTTTCCCACGCTCGAGGTATAGCGGCAGTGTACACACACTGCTGTACACACACTACCTACTGTACGTATACACTACCTACTGTACGTATACACTACCTACTGTACGTATACACTACCTACTGTACGTATACACTACCTACTGTACACACACACTGCTGTACACACACTCCCTACTGTACACACACACTGCTGTACACACACTCCCTACTGTACACACACACTGCTGTACACACACTACCTACTGTACACACATACTGCTGTACACACACTACCTACTGTACGTATACACTACCTACTGTACGCATACACTACCTACTGTACGCACACACTACCTACTGTACGCATACACTACCTACTATACACACTACCTACCGTACACACACTACCTACTGTACGTATACACTACCTACTGTACGTATACACTACCTACTGTACGTATACACTACCTACTGTACGCATACACTACCTACTGTACGCATACACTACCTACCGTACACACACTACCTACTGTACGCACACACACTACCTACCGTACTCACTGCCTACCGTACACACTACCTACTATATACACTACCGTACACACTGCCTACCGTACACACTGCCTACCGTACACACAAACTACCTACTATATACACACACACTAACTACTATATACACACACACTAACTACTATATACACAAACTACCTACTATATACACTACCTACTAGACACACTACCTACTATATACACACACTACCTACTATATACACACATGATTTTCTAAATCATCTCAATGCACAAAACCCGGCCATCCAGTTCACCATGGAAATGAAGGTGAATAACACACTCCCGTTCCTAGATATTTCGCTTGGACATGGCCTAAACGGTAAAATAACACCACACAGCGTTTACAGAAAGCAAACGCACACTTGATGCCTATCTGAATGCAGATTCGCATCATCATCCAGCTCAGACATCCTCTCTTATCAAGACGCTTATACATCGGGCTGAAACAGTGTCAGATGATGAGAGTCTAGTGAGAGAGATCAAACGCGTTACAGAAGCACTAAGACAGAATGACTACAATAATGCTCAAATTAACAGAGCACTGAATGCCAAATCACGATCGCAAAGCAACACTGCTGAAAGCGATCAGATTGTTAAAACAATTAAAATTCCATATATCTCAGGAGTAACTTAGCCCGTGTTTTACAAAAGCAAAACATGACAGTAAGATTTGGTACAGTACACAAAATAAAAAAAACTAGTATCTTGTACTAAAGACGAATTACCTAAATTATCAACAAAAGGTGTATATCGGATTAATTGTTTATGTGGCAAATGCTATATTGGACAGACGGGATGTAACATCAGATTAAGATTAAAAGAACACCAAAGTAATATTAAATTATCTCAAACACAACTGTCGGCAGTGGCAGAACATGCCTGTCAACAAGGACACTCAGTTGATTTTGATAACGTTGAAGTGTTGTGTAAAACGAATTATTGCTGGCAAAGACTAATTAGATAATCCATTGAAATTGAGAGAAATAGAAATAACTTTAATCGCTCTGACAGCTACAGGCTTAGTGCGGCTTGGAAGCGTATTATTAAATAATACATATTACAATTCCTTATAGGGGAAACATACTAATTAACGGATTACTAACGTAGCATATAATCACAATAACACACATTACAACTAATTACTAATTTACAACTCATTACTAATCATAATCATTGACTGATTACCAATCGATTACATAATCACTGCACCTGATATGAGTTAAATGATGACGTCACCCTGCTGTTGCTCTATTGAAGAGCGGGAGCAAGCAAGGGCTTTACCATTCTGGCGAATTGCCTGGTGATGCTGGATGTAATTACCAGCGAAACGTCGTACTACTCAAACTGTAAATGTTGTGGATTCACTCTTCAACACACCGGTGGGCTAAAGTAGTGAACTATTTGTCTTTTGTCAACGTGACACTTTTTTTGTTGATTGGCCGTGTCGGGTGGTGGAGGGTTACGACACATTTATAAATAACGCGATCTAACCCAAAAACCTTTATTATGAACACTAACTACTGTACACACACGCACTACCTACTGTATACACACACCATCTACTGTACACACTACCTACTGTATACACACTACCTACTGTGTACACACACTACTTACTGTACACACACTACTTACTGTGCACACACTACCTACTGTACACACACTACCTACTGTGTACACACACTACCTACTGTATACACACACTATCTACTGTATACACACTACCTACTGTGTACACACACTACCTACTGTGCACACACACTACCTACTGTACACACACTACCTACTGTACACACACTATCTACTGTACACACTACCTACTGTGTACACACACTACCTACTGTACACACACTACCTACTGTGTACACACACTACCTACTGTGTACACACACTACCTACTGTGTACACACACTACCTACTGTGTACACACACTACCTACTGTGTACACACACTACCTACTGTACACACACTATCTACTGTGTACACACACTACCTACTGTACACACACTACCTACTGTGTACACACACTACCTACTGTGTACACACACTACCTACTGTGTACACACACTACCTACTGTGTACACACACTACATACTGTGTACACACACTACCTACTGTGTACACACACTACCTACTGTACACACACTACCTACTGTGTACACACACTACCTACTGTGTACACACACTACCTACTGTGTACACACACTACCTACTGTGTACACACACTACCTACTGTGTACACACACTACCTACTGTGTACACACACTACCTACTGTGTACACACACTGCCTACTGTGTACACACACTGCCTACTGTGTACACACACTACCTACTGTGTACACACACTACCTACTGTGCACACGCACTACCTACTGTATACACACTGAGCCGGTCCCCTAGGTCGACTCGGCCTCAAATGAGTACCTGGTGCGGTGCGTAAACATCGCCGCTGGGGAGACAAAGGCGGTCGGGCGTGGTGCCGGCCACCCACCCCATCGTTTGCCATGCCGGCCTTTAATAGGTGCTCGCTAACAGCACTTGCCCCTACAGTCTGTCAAGGCTGAATCAAATCGTGATAACGATCGTGCGTGCGTGCGTGCGTATGCCTATTTGTGTTCCCCTACGTGCCTAAACAATTCTCTATCTGAATCGGCATCTCTTCCTTCGCCTCGCGTGAAGCTAATTGCGAAGCGGTCATGAGCAGCGTGCAGCGCAACCCTACGACTTTGTTCCGTGCGTATGGCAATGCTGTGGCCAGGAGCGCTTAAATACCAATGTCGAGGTCTGCCAGCCACGACGAGAGAAAGGGGGGAGGGTCTTCAGGAGAGCCTTCGCGCCTGCCTCTTAACTGCAGTGGTGTGCTGTCTAACTTTCTGATTACATTTGTTTTCCTTCGATTGATCACGGGGCGAATTGCTAACTCGGTACCATCACATCAACACGCAGAGAGAGAGAGACATTTAACCGTGGTGCTGCTGGCAGTGCTCGCCACGTACGCATTTTGCCACTCTACCCTGCAACAGGCACGGATGGATATCACCCACCCACCCACCCCCCAGTCGTTGCGAAATCTCGTTTCATCCCCTCTAGCGCATCCCCCCTCCACCACCACCACCACCATGGATTGATTGTGCTGGACAATGGGGACGTTGCTGCAATTTTCACCACGGACGCAATCCGCTCTTGTGTTGTGACACGCAAACCCGGGCACAGGGAACTCGCCTTTTATCATCAGCTGGCCAGCCTGCGGCAAAGTCTTGAATGTGCTATTGCCATGCGGCATTGCATCTCAACCAAACTATTCAATTTTATTTTTTGCCAGGTAAGGCCCACCTGAGCTATATAGCTCTTTTTCACAAGGGACCTGGCCCACAGATTGATAGCGACGTGGCCTAAATCGCGTACGATATTTTTAGCGGGCAAATACTCTGAACACGTGGTTGATTCTTCTCAACGTGGAGGGGAGAGACAGAGAGAGACACGCAAACTCCAAATATACAGGCGTCAGGGTCGCGATCGAACCCACGGCCCCCTGACTACCGGGCGACTTGGTTAACGTTTAATTCTGTAAAACAAAATATTTTTTTCAAGTCAAGTTTACTTAAAACAGAAATGAACATACAAAGGAAAGCAATGCTGGGGACCAATTAATTGGGGGTCACAAGAGGTCTGCAACTACCTTGTTCAGTGCATTACAATGTAGACTGTAGCGACTTTAATGTGATCACATCTCTCAAGATGCTGGTCATAAACAGTGGGCTTATGCTATGTTTTTTCTATGGAGAGAGATAGGGACAGTTGCTCAGGTTTTAGAATCCAGGCATCTATTTCCCTGTGAGTCTGTGGGTCTCCATGTAAGTCTGTGGGTCTCTGTGCGACTCTGTGGATCTGCTGTATGAGTATGTGGGTCTCTGTGAGTGTCTGGGTCTCCATGTGTGATTCTTTGGCTGTCTATGAGTCCATGTATCTTTTGTGTGAGTGTAGGTCTCTGTGTGAGTCTGGCTTCTTCTACAGTGTAGTATACTACAGTGTAGTATACACAGCATATAAATGCAACTGTGTCTCAAGACGCTGTACACAAAGAGTGCCGCGTATTTTTTTGTTTCATATAGGAGGGAGAGGTCCAGTCAGCCACGAGCAGCGGAATAAGATAAAATGGGACGTTGCGAGTCTGGATTCGAACAGGGTGAGGGATTCAACAGCACGGATCGCTAGGGAAATGGAGTTCCAGGCTAGGAGGGCGTCAGACACGAATGAACGACCTCCCCCACCCACTGATCGATTGCTCCTTTATTTGACCAGGGTGGGAACCCGTCGAGACCCCGAGTATCCTTTTACAACGGGTGACATGGCACAATGCAAGCGCAGATTTTTGAGGCCGGAAAGTTTTGGAGGTGTTTCAAGCAGGGTTAAAAGGGCTATAGGCGCAGTTCTGCAATTGCTTGCTCACGCCACTGCTGGCGGAAGG